AATATTTGGTAAAGGATTCAAGATCGTTCTCTGATATTAGACTTTTCTTAAGAGTTCCTTAAAACTGTAGAGAAATGTCTTCAGAATTATTTTTTAAAAAAACATGTTTACACAATCAGGTTTATTAAGTGTGAATTTATTATTTGAAGGAAAGTACCAATGTCTATTTAAGCAAAATACCTCTTATGGTGCTGTCAAATATTATTGTTTTAATTCTTGTTTAAAATATGATGTAATTTTTTTTTTTTTCTATTTAAAATCAAAGCAACAGATCCCACAAAATGATTTTTGCCTTAAAATGGCTGTTCTTTAACCTTCAGTTGAGGTTATTCTAAGAGTAGGTTTAAAAAAAAAGCATTGCTTGAAAAAAGATATGTCAACTAAGCAGGGTCAACAGTAATTCTTTGAGTGACTGCCTAGGAAATGAATAGAAAAGGGACCCAATTATTTAAGAAGATACACAAATGTGTGTGATAAATTTAGGAATTTGAGGCTCTTACCCATACAGGCTCAACATTTTTAGACAGGAAATTACCCAAGGACTGTTCCAAAAAAAGGTGTTAAACCATAACTACATTGAGTTTTGAAAAGTAGGAATTAATCTGGTGGTCAGCCAAGAAGCTAGACAAAATTACTGCCATCATTTTGCTTAGTTGCTACATTTTACATAAATAGATCTCACAGTACTGTAAGGAATAGATGCATAAAACCCTACATGTGTATACAAAAGTAGTTAAAACATGAAAGGTTTGCAGAAGTGTGAATCTGAGCACATGGGGCTTGGAAGACCCATCAGCAAACTGCTTTCTATCATAATGCACATGCTGAATATCAGAACTGATAACAAAATGTATGAAGGACTTAGTTCTATTTCCAGATATTAATGTGCAAATAGAAGAGATAGAAGCAAAGTAACTCTCAGTGATGACTTGTTGTTTACTTTGTAGTGATTGGAATGCCTTGGGAATGTTGTTTGTAATTGTTCCCTTTTGAAATTGTGTTCAGTTATATTGAATTAATAGTAAAGAGGCACACATGACCCGTCTTTCCCTGCTTTGTTCAATGAAAGCTTTTCTTCAAAGCATATACCTCCCAAATGGTCCGTTTGGTGTGCATCCTCATTCCATTTTAATACCTTTGTATTTACACCTTACTTACACTTTAATTTATAACCTTTGTCTTCTAATGAAGGCTGTCTAATACAGTATATATGAAACAGAGTTATAAGGCAAATTAATCTGCATTAGTCTGATAATCATGGGAATATAACACATAAAAGAAAAATTTAAGTTCCTTTACTACAGTACAGTTATCTATACCTAGTGAACTGTCCTGCAGCCTCCTTGATTCTCGCTTTGGAGCACTGGTTCAGTCCCACTAATCAGTGCTAAGAACTTTGTTCCTTACAGGGAGAAGAAACCCTCAGTGTCACCTGTTGCAGGATACCCAGGGCCATCATTAGTACTTTCAGTACTATACACTGGATGCCTTGGTTCATTGCAACAAATACTGATGCATAACATTTCAGAACTACCCATAAGCTGTGTACTACAGACTAGGCATCACATGCATCCTACAGCCGTGCCTGGAGGTCCTCACAAAACTTACATGTTCAAGGATATAGTATAAAGATCAGACAGTTGACTTGCACTCTTCTAAAACAAAAATTCACATTGCTGCTAATCTCAAGTTTTGCACATGCCAGCACCAAAGTGACAAGTTTTGATAGAGATGGTGTTAAAGGGTAGTCTTTGCCTCAGCTTCTGGACTTCACTATGAACTAGTTCATTACTGAAACGAGACGTTTCTTTCAACCCCTTTCCCCCTTACCAAAACCACATCCTGTCTACTCAGCACATAAATTACAAATGCCTTGCAGGTTTTGGAAAGCTTAGAGAGTTAAATAGAAAGAAAAATAATGGAAGTAGTTGATATTTGGACCACACCATTTAGAAGTTGTAGAAAATCCCTGCTCTCAAGTATGGGGATCTATTACATGTAAATATTCAATAGTATAGGGATGTTACTTTAACATTGCTGTTTTATTGTAACTCAGCAGTATGTGTCCATTGATATTTAGCACAAATGGTTGGAGGTATGTGCATACCTAGTTTTTTAATGACAATAGATATTTTTTAGGGTCTTCATATTCTCTTTTTTTTTGGTTTGTTTCAGTGGAATCTCATACAAGAATACAAGGGAAATGTACGAACTCCTACAGTAAAGTTATTGTTAGACATTCATATCAGGCTTCAATAAAACTGTCAAAATTTTTTATAGTGCCATCATAAAAAAAAAGTGATTTTTCAAATAACTTAATTCAAGTCTTGACCTCTTACAGTTTCTTCCCATAACGACCTGTATTTCTTGCCATAGTGGCTATAGTAGATACAATATAATGTAATAGTGGTTCTACAGGGTTTTAAGCTATTTTTCTGGAACAGTTCAAAACCAATGAACGGTCATTCTAATTGCTTATATATTATGATAAGAAATATGGAATCATAAGGATGAGAAATATCTTGGTGAAGCGTGTAACTGCATGTGTGCTAACTTGCAGCATATAGCTGTTACTCTCTTCTGCCATCTGCCACTGCGAAAACTCTGAGATCCAAACAGGGTTACAAGAAAGCAATGAGAATGTATCCAACCAAGACCATGTTGTGTTACTATGTAGCTGTTTCTATTTACTGCAAGAGCTGCTTCTTAGCATAAAATAATGAATTACGTAGTAAAAGTAATTTCTGTGGGCATTAAGGCAAGTGATTTGTAAAGTACAGCTCAAGATTTCACTATACAGAACTGTTAAAGGGAGGTGTTAATTTTCAGGCAAACTAAGCAATGCATCCTGAAGCATTCAAGATTTGCTTTTGCCTTACAAAAACCCTAATTTAATCTAATTTAACTGCTTGCTCAAATATCCTTTGTCAAGCAAATGAAGTATGCTTGAAGGATGAAAGTTTCCAGAGCTTCTGGAGGGAAGAGTGGTTGGCTATAGGTTTACAGACTCCATCTTCAGTTTAACAAGTTCATTCAGAGGTTGGGAATTAAAATACGCACATCTTTGTATTTTATGTTTGCTGATTTTCAGGAGTAAATATACAGTTTGCAGCTCCCAAAGGAACAGCAGCAGGACTCATCCAGCAGCTGCTGCTTGCCCTGCTAAGTGGAAGGTACCTGTTCTCTGGTTGTTCCGGAGTATGTGCACACACCTATAGCAGATCCTCATATAGTCTTACCCTTCTTTCTAATGTGGAGTTGGTAAGCCCAGCTCTCCTATGTGAGCAAAAATAGCGTTCATTTACTTTTTTCAGCCAGTCAGTTCTTTTCTCTCCTGTGCAAAAGGATTGTCTGCATAGGAATATTCCTGCTTGCTGGATCCTGCCTGTGGCTGTGGTACAAAACACAACGCTACATGTTTTCTCACTCTTTTCTTCCTCCCTCCCCTTTTATTTTCATCTTATAAAATACTCTAAAGTCACTTTGTCAAAAGCACAGTAGAGATAAATTAGTCTATGTTTATTCAGAGCTTTAGATGTCTTAAGCCTTACTTGGAATGAGTGCCAAATTTTACTCTTCTTGCTACATTGACTTCATTACGACAAGCATCTTGGTAGAGAAGTTTCTCTTTTACCCTGTCAGAATCAGGTGCAATTTAGGATTTTATTCTTCAAGATTTTGTGTATTTTTATACACATTTGTAATGTATTTGCATATTATCTTACAGGTTTTCAAGTATTTATATTTAAAAAATTTCAAAGTGTGTAAAATGAAAATATTTATTTTTCCATTTTATTTTAGACATGTTTTAGCAGGTTAAGCTAGTTCATAGGTATATGAATACTCTGAATCAGTTCACAGGCCAAACAGGGAACTACTTTTATATGTAGAAATAAGAGTATCCCTGAAGTAGTTGTTACCTCAATGTATGCCTCAATGATTTTTCTCAGTCTATTACATTGTTTTCTACTAGTAAGATAACAGCATAAAAATTATTTTTAAAGTATTTTCTGAAAACAAATTCTTATGAGAGTTGTTTATATTTAATTCAAACACAGAACTTTACATAGGGCTAATATTTTTAATTGATCAGGAGCACCATTGTTCTATGTATTGTTGTAGCTTTTTTGAGGAGGAGGCTGAAGGTGTGTAATTCTATCTGTTTATTCTATCAATTATTTTATCCTGTTTGGATTTTTAAGAACTAGAATGTGGTATTTGAACAAATGTTCCTTGATGTCTTATGTAGCTAATGCAACTTAACCAAATCTATATGTTAATCTGATTCTGCTACAGATTTTGTTACCTATTGCCATAAATAAAATAACACGAACTTAATGTCTTTGAATGTTCTTTGCATTACTTATCTAAAGTAATGTATAGATGGCACTGTAGTCAGCTGCTAAAATACATGGGTTTTTTCATCTCAATTACTTTAGAAGATTTCAGTTTTTTTGGAGGAGTTGGTAGTCTTATCAGTAGACAAAGAGATTTGCTAAAATCTTTATCTTTTCTGCAAGTGAAGTATACTCTGTTCTACAATCGAATGCATTGAAGTTCATTGCTGAAACAAAGTATAAATGAAGCATTATGCTTTGGGAGAACAAGAATATGAACCTGAGTTAAGAAATCGTATTTCTGGGTTTTGCCTTGATAAAGCAATCATTTTACGGACATTTCTGGAAGATTTTAAATTACTATGTTTTCTCCATTTACTAACGTTGTGGGACTCAACATTTTTATAATGAAATCATCTTTGAAGTGATTACTGCATCAGCTGAAAAGACCTTACACACTTCTCTTCTCTGTAAAACACGTATATGTGTTTATGGAATTTTGTGTAATATAAAAATTAAAGCTAGCAGCAAGCAACTCAATTTTTATTTTTCTTAGTTTGAATATGTTTTTAAGATTTATTTTATTATTCAGTATTTCTGTTTGCTGAGCAGATAGAATCACTGGCACAGTATGTAAGAATTTATCCCTTTGTTTTTATTTAGTTTGACAAAGGATACGCTTACAGCATTCGCCACAGCTATGGGAAAGAAGGAAGGAGAACTGATTATACCCCATACAGCTGCATGAAGATTATCATGTCCAATCCGCCAAGTCAAGGGGATTATCATGGTGAGTTTCTAGAAGCAAAAACAAACAAAACACCAGGCAAACAAAAAAAGTTAAAAACCAGCAGAAACCCTTGGCTACAGAAGTTGCTCCCTCTTGTAGTCTCTTAAATTATGTATTTCATTTTATGGCCACACTGGTCTTGCACTATTGTCTTTAGGTAGCACTTGATAGCTTCTATTTATAGCACTTGATAGCTTCTGTTTTATGTACATTGTGTCACATACTGCAAGGAGACTGTAAATGTGTTCATGCTTTTAAAAGTGACCAATTAGAGATTCTTTGAGATAAGAATTCAATTCTGAAGTTTGCTAGGGTACTTTAAAATCTTTTATCTCTATGTGACTAAACATGGAAAAACTGCACTGGCTTTCATTGTGGTTAGTCTAGTCCTATGTCACTCATTCATTTTTGTGTCAAAACTAATTCTGGGAGAAAAAAAAACATGAGTCTTAAGGTGACTCTTAAGGAACTCTCTAAGGTATTTCTAAAGTACTATTTTTACAAAGGACTATGCATTAAAGACCAGTTGACGCTCATTACTTGTCTCTTCCTGTTTTGTTTTTTTTTCACAGCGATAGAATGTATCAGCACAATTATTATTAGTAAGGACCTAACTAAAACTCTTCTGTCAGTGAATGAGAATTGTAGCCTGTTTGTGTTAGAATTTTTTATGCAACTCTTGAGCCTGTGCTGCCCTGATAACCATGAAGTGGAGTGATTATAAAAAAAAAAAAAGAAAGAAAAAAGTAAGCAGTTGTGCACATGGGCAATTAACTTTCTTATTAATAAGCTGTTAGACAATTAGGAGCAGCTTAGCTGTCTCTTGAGTGTCTTCCTGTGCAGACTCCTGGGTAGACAGCCTTGTTTGTGAGCTTGCCTCTTTTTACTGTCAGGGTGCCCATTCCGCCACAGTGATCCTGAGCTATTGAAGCAGAGGCTGCAGTTGTACAAGGTCCCTCTCAGTGGAATAACTCAGGTAAGGTGTATTTTGTTTTTATTCTTGCAAGAACTTGTGGAAGACGCTACAATTTAGCCAGTAGATTGAAACAATTGTTTTCTGTAATAAATGTCTAGAAACCATACATTCGTAGCCATCCATTGAGCTAATTTCCCCTAAACAACACAGAACATGAAATGCCTAGTGAAATAAAGCAGTGTTTTAGCAGCTTTTTAAAATGTAACATTAGATTGATAACCTATCTTATATAGCAAGAGCAACATAGAAATCAGAACTTGTTGACTTGTAGACTGAAGGACTGTGACTCCCATTGCTTGCTCAAGCAGGAGTTTGAGGCTATAAAAGTTTACCGTCATCTTTGTTGGAGTAAGACATACAGGGTAGAGTTAAGCTGGGATAGTTGTACACAAACTTGTGTACATTAACTGTCTGAAACCTGCTTTTTAGGTCCATAGCAAAAACCTGCTTTAAGCTGTCATCTTTAGTTCATGTGGAATGTCACCATGGCTTGTCAGGCAGCAGCAGTGTTGAACTAGATAGAAGAGAAAGTGAAAGTTCCATTTAAAGTAGTTTCCCTTGGGAGGAATAATAAAGATACAAATTAAAATAAAATAGTTTTTAAGTGTTTATTGTTCACTCATTCTTGACAAATCCTTGCAAAATCAGGACATTTTGCAAGGAATGTTTTTTCTTTTGTCTTTTCTTCTTTTTTCCTGGTTCATATAAATAAGCATTTGACTGTCTTCCATATATATGACAGGCACCACAGATACCTTTCTTTAGCTAATTTCTTTCTTGTATGCACCAACATTTGATGCTGCTCTAAGATTCCTATCCTGCTACTCATTGGACTAGTGAGGATTTACTGTTTTATCTTCCTTGTCATGTGTAGGTAGGATGCAGCAGAGATTATTTCTTCAGTGAATCTGCATAGTGAGGCAGAATGTTTATATGCAACATAATTCCTTCCTTGATGTGAATTGAGTTCTAGGTATTTGTGTGGTTTTGGTTGTAAAGTAGGATTGGGATTCACTAGGAGTCTTACATTTTCTTCTAAGAAGTGAGTAAGAAAAACTATCTCCATGAGTGTCTGCTTTGCCTGGAAATGGACACTATGCTATCCCTGAATTTTGTGATGTCAATTTAAGTGCAGTCAGGGTACAGCTCTGCTGTGGCAACTCCTGATGTTAAACCAAAACAAACTCAAAACACCTCCCTCCTGAAAACTGATAATAATTTTTAAAAAATTAAAAAGAAGTTGGTTTTGGCTGCATTTTCAGAAATTCATCTTTTACATCAGACAGTCCCTGAGATAGTCAGTAGGAACAGAGCAAGAGTATTGTTTCACATCTGTCTCTAAGATCTCATGCAGATTTTACTGCTATTACTATTGCTATACTTGCATGGTTCAATAACATTGGCATCACTAATACCAGTTCAGGATCCTTCGGTCCAGACCATGGCTTTTTAGGGTCTTCTCTGGTGCTGGTGATAGTTGCTGATATCAGAGATGTTTTTCCTTTAGCTCAGTTAGGGGTTATTAGGGGTGGATGGTCTGTCAGTCTTTCAAAGCCTTGGATATAATTGCTTTTTCAGTGTGTGGGCCTCAAGATTGACACTCACTGAAACTGTACCCTTTTTGTATGTTAGACCTTGTTAACTCCAGATCAAATGAGAGGTGCCTTACAACCTGACAGTTTCCTGTTTTTAATGAATGATTCAGAGTTTGACCTTTCACTTGTGTATTTTAATAAACGATATGTCTTTCCTCTGGCTCAGGGTCTCTTAAACTTGTTCCTTGCTTTGTTCCAAAATTCTTTTGCTATCTTTGGATGTGACTTCATGTAGTGTTTTCTCTTGCTATATATATTCTAGACAAATAGGTTGTCACAAAGTGAAAAATTCCCTTCAGTGTTGTCAAAACCAGATCAGTGTATGTACCCAAGTACTTTCTCAGTTCTCTCTGCCTGGTTTATGGTAGAGATAAATGTGTTGTTCTGGACTGAGGGGACACTCAAGTGGCCATGTACACAGGACAGCACACTCAAAAGAAGCAGGCATTTTACATCAGCTTTTCTGGGACTCTGAGCCTTCTCTAATGAGTTGAAGTCTCTCATCCACTTAATGAAAGATAGAGTGCAAAGCAACTGGATCATTAACAAATGTGTGTGATGGTATCACAGATGAGATGAGATGACAGCCTGTAGTGAATTTGGATCCTGGTTTTTACAGCATTCTAGAAATCATGGTGAAAGGTAACACACTAAGCTTTAATTGATTCCTGAATCAATTAATCCTTTTAGCTTCCCTGTTTACAGCAGATATATCACTACCATGTTCTGTATTAGCAAAAAAGTACTGCAAGACCTGTGAAAGTAATTTACTGAACACTGAAGCCAAACTTAAATTATGAGTACATAGACTTATATATTTGATGGATTGCAGGCAGTGTGGAATGTGGAATCCCCTTAAAAGATGATTTTTTTCTATAATTTATAGTCATTTACTGGACTTGAGAAGGTGCGACTTAATGAACCCACTTGGCCAACAACTGGCTTCCAGTAGTTATTTTAACTTAGCTGTTCTTTATTTTTTTGAACTAACAGGCTCTTGCTTCCTTTTGTGCTTTTCTAGGAATGTGACCTTCAGCTGGATGGTAGTTGCAACAGAACAATAGAATAAAATTATTCTTTAACTCAGTAATTCCCTCTATTTTGAGATACTAAACCTTGAAATGAACTGTAGGTTTTTGCTTACAGTGGTGGCTAAATTTTAGGAGATTTAATCTTTGTTTTATTTTGTAATATGTTTTTCACCTAAATGTTTTCAGAGCTACAGATTCCTTATATGCTAAAAGCATAACACATGCTTCTTTACAAGAATGTGCCCATATCTATTCTGGGGAGACCTCTTGGTTGGTTTCTGCACTAAAATTTTTCATCTTTATCTGACAGCATGTGAATCTGTTGCATAGCCATTGTCATGGAAACAAGTGAGGTTTTTAGAAGACTACTTCATGCTTGGTCTCAAGGAGCATCTCTGTTCATGTGTCACCAAGTGTTTTGTTCTTGTTGAAACTTCTGTATAGTCCCATAGTTTTTGTTGAAGTAGACACTCCAGGGCACTCTTCTGGGTAGATGTTGTTTGTGAGTGGAGTACATTATGCTTCTTTCTTCAGGTGAGCAGTAGTAAATGTTTCTCTCCTAAGTTATGCAGTTCACCTTAAAGAGGTTGAAAGGTCAATAATTTCTGTTTCCTACTGTGATTAAATTCTCATTCTGAAACAGAGGTCATCAGGCCTTCCAGAAGCATAAATCAGGATGTCGACACAGTCCTGGCCAGAGAGCCTGGAGAAGACATGGCAGCTCACACCATGCACAAAGGATTTTACATTGGTGGCATTGTACCCAAAGTTAAACAGAGCTGGTGTCCTAACCTTAATTTGTACAAAGGTAAATACAAATATTGAAGTCTGTGTTTGATGGAGACTTAGCGCATGTCTTTTATTAGCAGCTCCTGTAGGCTTGTGTTTCTTGTTTGGGAGGCTCTTTCTTTTCATAAGAAATATGAAAATCTCTTGAAATCTTATTATTTCCAGTTCATACACAGTGATCTAGATCAGAACTGTTACTGTTTGAAGATGTTTCCTTTCTGTTTGTTCACAACATTTTGTATGTTAATCATGATCCTGCTGACAAACTTTGCTTGAGAGCTTGAGGACTTTTTTTTTTTTTTTTTTTTTTCCCTGGTGAGACGGGGGTTTTTACAGACAAGATTGTTAGTCTTTTGATATTTTTATAGACAGGGTTGTTAGTCTTCTGATATTTTATGGGTTTCTCTTCAATGATCTTTGTGCTGCCATCAAAAGAAACGTATCTTATTACTGAATTTATTGTGTTAATCAAAGGGATACTGACTCCTGAGCAGTGGTTGTTTACCTTCCATGAACTGAATTCACAGACAATCAGATTTGGATTTGTAGTACAGCAGCAACCACATAAGTGATTCTTTTTCATAGGTCTCCCATAACTTTCAGCAGTTATCTCAGGAGGTCCTTGAATTATGAAAACCAGGCCACTGTCTTAGCTGATCTTGAGTTGATTGGCAATTACATCAGGTGGGTTTAGTTGTGCAGCAGGTCATTGGTTTGAATGAGTTTCTCTTGCTGTGTTTGTTGTTTATCCCATGTGTTTCTATGGCTTCTTTCCCAATCACTTGTGCTTCACCTTGTCATGAGTTCTGGTTCCAGGGCTTTTCCTGTCTGTCCATTCAGAACCTAGGGCCTTTGCATATTCTTGCAGTTTATTGTTGGGTATTTCATCAAGTACTTCAGCTGTCCTGCAGATGCTGTGTTTTCCATTATAGATGGTAGTTGGTTCTCTGTTGCATACTACATTTTTGTCTGGTCAAGCGTTAGGGTTTTTTTATGTAATGATACATAGTTTTCCAAATGTTTATGTTGGATTTAGCTGCATGGTCATGAATTGGTCCTCAACTGGGATTTTAATCTTTCTTTCAAGCCCATGAGCAAGCCCCTTTCTTGTTTATGAAGCTTGTTCCTCAGGATTATTATATGAGCCAGAAGGTGGACTAATGTCCAGCCTATAGGGTTGCAGTTTTATCCAAGACAGTCAGTTTGTAGTATATTTTGGATCACATTTCATTTAATTCTGGACACTGGAACAGGCTGCCCAGGGAGGTGGTGGAGTCACCATCCCTGGAAGTGTTTAAAAGAAATATAGATGTAGTGCTTAGAGACATGATATAAGTGCTGAAGGAGTAGATTAGGTTATGGTTGGTAGATTTAGGCTATGGTTGGACTTGATGGTCTTCAAGGTCCTTTACAACTAGGATGATTTGGTGATTCTGTATTTGGTATACTGCTAATCAGGTCAAATATTTATTGAACCAAGTTTGACAATAGCTAATAATTTCAAAGACTATAAAGTTCAAAGCATATGTGAAGGTAAATACGTCTGTTGTGGTGCTATACTAAGTGCACTGTAATGTTTTATATATATATCAAATAGAATAGGATTTGAATCAGAGTTATTTTAAAATATCTCTTACTGGTTTCTAAAAGCTCAATTGGAGAAGCGACCTTTTTCCCATATCACTGCTATCACAAAAGAAAAAAGGTAGTAAAAATGTTTTGTTCTACAGTCAGGAGAAACAGAAGGTCTCCATTCATCATTTTTGCTTTTGCTCCAATTACTGTTTTTTCTTTAGGGAAAAGTGCTTATGTAAATGAGCAGTAGATAACTTTAGAAGAATGTTCTTTGTAGTAGAATTGTTCTCTTAATTAAAAAAGCTACCTTTTCCCATAATTGGATTAAATTAAAGATTTTGATTGAGTCATTAAACTTTGACCAATGTTCACTGACAAATTTTGTGTGTTGGGGATTTGGAGAGTCTTCGCAGAGATGTAAATAAATAAGCCAATTTGTGTCTAGGCCTTAGACTTTAGTTCCAGGAACAGTTAATTAGCCTAAATGGGCTCTGCTGGAGTGGAAGGGTCTTTTACTCTCTGTTCATCCCTGCCTGTTGAATTTCCATTCCTTTTCTTATGCTGGCCCTGTGACTACATAGTAAAATAGATTAAAAAATTCTCCAACTCTAGGTTTGTGTAGGAAGGTGAAGAGGAAGGAGTTTCATTTTCAGGTA